TCTGAGCAGCTATTCCACTCACTGCTTCCAGCCTCCACCTCTATGATGGAGATGAGAATACCTAGTTTTCAGGGTCATTATGGGGTCAAATGAGTTAAGGTATGTACTTTCTAACTTATTTTTTTAAATATATTTTATTGATTTTTTTACAGAGAGGAAGAAAAGGGGATAGAGAGCTAGAAACATTGATGAAAGAGAAACATCGATCAAGCTGCCTCCTGTACTGGGGATGTGCCTGCAACCAAGATACCTGTCCTTGACTGGAATCGAACCTGAGACCTTTCAGACCTCAGGCCTATGTTCTATTCCACGGAGCCAAACCGGTTAGGGCTATTTTCTTTCTTTCTTCCAGTAAAACATTGATCTTACCTGGATACTTGTATGGATTAAAAATAAGAGGAAAGATATGAACTTTCTCCCAGAAAACAAAAATGGACAGGGTCACATGGATAATCATAAAACTTGCACTGCATCCGAGGAGGGTGGTAGAGCCCCAGAGCCTGTTTGTGATCCCCAGGGATGCTCTGCCTTGCCGCCTGCTCCCCAAAGAGGTCACCTCTCCTCCCAAAGATCACCGCAGTACCACGAGGAGCAATCGATGTTCCTCCTAATATGCCCTAATGACTGCCATTTTTCAATTCATAGGAAGGGCGGGGGGAGGAATGACAGGCAGGGTTTGATCAATTTCAAGATTTCCCTCCCATCATTTTTTAAACATTCGTCACCTACTGCAGCTTGTACGCCGAGTGAGAGCTCGCAGATGGCGAGATGAATGAATGATCAGAAAATAGATGTGAACCGAGAACCTTGGAGCTGTGATTTCATAAAATTACCTTATTCATGTGGTGATTGGGAGGGCTGGGGAGACCTGCAGACAGAGAGCAACTGCAGCCTCGCTTTGCAAACATCCCTGTGGCCTGGTTCTTAAGGAATGAGACCATGCGTGCCCTGCACACAGGAAATGCATGCATAATGTCCTCTGGCTGCTGCTGAGGCCCCGGACACGCACCACTGTTGACATCTCATTCATTTCTGAGCAGAATTGCAGTGAGGCTCTTTGTCTTAAAGAGAGAGAGAGAGAGAGAGAGAGAGAGAGAGAGAGAGAGAGAGAGAGAGAGAGAGAGAGAGAGAAGAAGAAAGAAGAAAGAAGAAAGAAGGAAGAAAGAAAGAAAGAAAGAAAGAAAGAAAGAAAGAAAGAAAGAAAGAAAGAAAGAAAGAAAGAAAGAAAGAAAGAAAGAAAGAAAGAAAGAAAGAGAAAAAGAAAGAGAAAAAGAAAGAGAAAAAGAAAGAGAAAAAGAAAAAGAAAAAGAAAAAGAAGAAGGGAGAGAGGGAGGAAGGAAAGAAGGAAGGAAGAGAGAGAGAGAGAAAGAAAAGTAGAGAAATGAAGGGAGGGAGGAAGAAAGGAAGGAAGGAAGGAGGAGGAAAGGAAAGAAGAAAAACACCTCCTGGCAGTGGCTATAAGTGACACCTTGTGTGGAGAGTGGCTACAGTGTTTGGACAGGTTCAAGCCTCGGACTAATGAGAGGGCAGAGTCCTCTCATGGCCACGTGCACAATTATAGCTAAAGGCTTTAGTTTTAAACTTGAACCTATGGTCTGAACACATGACCCCATGTGCCTAGTGATGTGGACTTGATAGAGTTCAGGTGCATATAATTGAGTAGGTTCAAAACCCACAATAACGTTGTAACCACACTCTTACTTTGCCTCATGGAGTCTGGCTATAAAATAAACAGTTTACAGGCTGTGATGCTGCCTCTACATCAGAGAGAGCAGTGTCCCACCCAGACCCAGATTTCTTCTCTTATATTTTCTAAATCCTTCACCGTCCCTTCTCAGGGTCACCCTTGGCCGTGCTCCCGAGGCACAGCTTTGGGGTGGGGAATTTGGACATCTAGCCTCCTTGAAGCTGGTCTTCATGCCAGGTCTCTGAAGGAAGTGGCTCATTGGCTAACTTTTCACCATATGGGACATTTGTCATTAGTGTGATTCAGACATCAGGGCTTCCTTTCTAAAGGAATTACATCCAAGTTAAAGAGGCCCAACACAAAGTGATTGGTTGGCACCAAAGAATACCTAGCTCACCCAGCTAGTGTGGCTCAGTGGTTGAGCATTGACCTATGAACCAGGAGGTCACAGCTCGATTCCTGGTCACGGCACATGCCCTAGTTGCAGACTTGATCCCCAGTGTGGGGTGTGCAGGAGGCAGCTGGTCAATGATTTTCTCTCATCGTTAATGTTTCTTGCAGAGAGTGGCTATAGCATTTGGACAGGTTCAAGCCTGGGACTAATGAGAGGGCACGATCCTCTCGTGGCAAAGCCACATGCAAATCCCAGCACAATTACAGTCAAATGCTATGGTTTGTAAGCTTGACCTTTTTGCCCAAACCTGTGGTCCCATGTGACTGAATGATGTAGGCTTCAGGAGGTTGATCAAGTGCATGTAACTGAGTAGATTCAAAACAAAGCTTGATCAGGTGCATGTAATTGAGTAGATTCAAAACCTGTGAGAACGTTGTAAATATCTTGGCCACGCCCTTACTTTGCCTCGTGGAATCTGGCTATAAAATAAAGACTCGGCTTGCAGGCTGTGCCACTGTCTCTTCATCAGAGAGCAGCGTCCCATCTAGCTCCAGCTTTATTCTCTTGTCTGTCTTCTTTAATCCTTCACCGTCCCCCTCAAATTCACCCCTGGCCGTGCTGAGAGCGGCACAGTTTCTATCTCTTCCCCCTCTCCCTTCCTCTCTAAAATCAAAAATATAATTAAAAGGGAAAAAATACCCAGCTCAACCCACTTTAGAGGGAAGAGTCGAGAAGCCACTGGAAGAAGACTTCCCAGTGCTGAGGGGTGGGGGGAGAATAGGGGGTGACTCTGGCCAGACTCCCTCAATCCACAGCATTTTCCGTGTGCCCGCTGTGTGGAGGGCACTGTGCTAGGCACTGGGGGTTCATATATCCAGAAAACGGTACCTCAGGGGAGCTCAGAGTCTAGTCAGGCAGCGGAGAACGACATGCGCACGAGACTGTGAGGATGGAGGTGCACAAGGCCCAACACACCCGTAGAGGAAGCAGGACTGTCCGCCGGACTAAGGCAGACGAGGTGTGGGCTGCCGCCTTGAGAGCCGGTGGGAGCTGCCTGGCAGGCAGGCTTGCAGAAGAGATTCCTGAGCAAAGGCTTGGACGCAGAGAACTTAGGGTTGGTCAGAGAAGTCACTGTGAGGAGGCAAAATCGAGACAAGCCTGCCTGCAGAAAAAGGAATAGCCCAGGCAGACAGAAGAACAGGGTGCAGGCCTGTGCTGAGAATACACCTGCTGCACGGGAGAGGGGCGTGTTTACTCGCTGATTGCAGTGAATGGGGAAGGGTAGGTGGTGGGGAAAGGTAGGAAGCAGCATGCTACCCTCAGGGAACCAAAGGCAGGGGTACAACCAGCTAGCGCCATGGTGGGCAAACTGCAGCTTGTGAGCCACATGCGGCTCTTTGGCCTTTTGGTATTCCACAAAATATCACGGCCTGGGCAAGTCGATTCTGAAGAAGTGGCATTAGAAGAAGTTTAAGTTTAAAAAATGTGGCTCTCAAAAGAAACTTCAATCGTTGCCCTGTTGATATTTGGCTCTGTTGACTAATGAGTTTGCCGACCACTGAGCTAGAGCAAATGTTCCCAACAGTTGAGAAATGAATCTGCACGACCCTGGGTCAGGAAGGAACTGAGGTACTGTGGGAAGCAGCTGCAGTGTTTGGACAGGTTCAAGCTTTGGACTGAAGAGCGGGCACAGTCCTCATGCAAGTCCCAGTGTGGAGGGCAGAGCCCTCCCAGCACAATTAGAGCCAACAGCTGTAGTTGTCAGCTTGAACCTATGGTCCGGACACGTGGCCCCACGTGCCTGGGTGATGTGGGCTTAATAGAGTTCAGGTGCATGTGATTGAGTAGATTCAATGCTGTAAACATCTTGACCACGTCCTTACTTTGCCTGGTGGCATCTGCTATGAAATAGACATAGCTTGTGGGCATCGTCACTCAGAGAAGCAGCATCCCACCAAGACACAGCTTTTATTTTCTTTTCTGTCTTTTCTAAGCCTTCCAGCCACCCCCACTCAGGTTCACCCGTGGCCATGCTGGCAAGGCACACGGTACCAAGCCGAGGAACTCGGCCTTGAACCTGAAAGTGAGAAAAGCCGCTGGGGCTGGGATGTAAGGCAGTCAAAAGGTGGAGAGCTCATACTGAGGGATGGATTGATGGCGAGGGATCCCTACAAGGCCACTGCAGTGGTCCCAGGGAAAAAGGGACGGAGCTTGATATAACACAGGTATCTGGGAGGGGAAAGAAGGTACTTTTTTTTTTTAAATTAAAATAGAACTAGTAAACAATGGAATGTGGGCTGAGTGACACGGAACCAGGGAGACTACAGGGCACAACCTGGTTTGTCTAACCAACCTGACCGTGTCACCAGGATCTGAGACTACCAGGTATGCCCAGAGACCATCCACCCTCATGCACAAGTGAGGGCCCCCTGGCTTTGGCCCGGACTCTCTCCCCTGGATACTCCTCTTCCATCTCCACCTGCTCCTGGGCAACCACTGAGCAAACCCGGCCAGGGCATCGGGTATCCTGTTTGGTTGTTATCACTGTTTATATTTTTGTTTGCTTGTTTTGATAAATCTGGCAAACCTAGATTTGGGTAAAGGGTCTAGGAAACTCTGCTAGGTGTGGCCTGGGAGACACTGAGCCCCCAGCCCCCAGGCCTCCTAGGAATGTGGGCCAGCCTTCCACGGTAGGCTTTTTGGAGCCTAGCTTTAACCCAGCCCAAGTGGACAGGTGAAAAAAAAAAAAAAAACACAAGATGCTCTGGCTCCAACAGGCCACCTGAAATCACAGTGACAGCTGAGAAACACACGTGTGTTAAACTAGTCTTTATCAATTGCCTCGTGTTCCTTCCTGGGCAAGACCCACACCCCACACCTCGGCCTACTGTGCCTGGCCCGGTCCATCCAGAGAGGATCCTAGAAGGTACAGCCGTCCACCCAGTCGCTGAGGTCCTTGCCCAGGCAGTGATTCTTCCAGGCCTCCCTGGGGGTGGAGAGTATGGGAGAGGAGAGACCCAATCAGAGACAGCCTCCGACCCTGTTCACAGAAGAACAGGAAGGAGCATAGGCTCTAAACCAGAAATTAGGTGTGGACAGGGGCTAGCAAGGAAAAGAGAGGAAAGCAAACTGTATTCACTGGCAAAAAAAAAAAAAAAAAAAAAACCTTAGAGCAGTGTTTCCCAAACTTTTGACATATGTGTACCCCTTCTATAATTTTCGTAATGCAGAGTACCCCTCGTACTCATGAGAATGTAGAATTAGGCGCAGCTAAGCATGGTGCAGTGCATATCCCCACCAAACTCCGGTGCAACACATACACCCACCAAACTCTTCCCGTACCCCTGGGGGTATGCATACCACACTTTGGGAAACACTGCCCTAGAGGAATTAAGAAAGGACCAGAATGGCCTTTAAAAATAGTCATCTGTCATCTATGTAGCCCCGCTGTTTTTCCAAAGGGGTCCCAGAGTCCTTTGCCTCAAGTTCACCCAGAAGTCAGTGGCAGAGGCCTGGAGTCCTGAGTAAAGGGAGGCTGGAAACTCTAAGTGAAGCTCCCATCAGAAGAGACTGGGAAGCTGTTGGGCCATTGAGGCCAAGGACCTTCTGAGGCTAGAAAGATCTAGCCTGATGCCCCATTGATGCCCATCCAATCCCTGGGCCTGTGAGGAGGGCTTCCCATCATGTGGGAAAGGTGAAGGCTGACAGGCTGAGGCCCAGAGAGCCCACCCTGTTCAGGCAGGAATCTATTAGTTTGTTATAACCATGGGACTTTATAAGAAAGTTAGTTTAGACAAAGATGCCATGGCTCAAAAATATTTACTAGACCCAGATCTAGTGGACCGGGAGGCAAGCATCTCAACATAGGCAATGCTTGAAAGAGCCAGGCTGTGCTCCTCGGCCTCCAGTGAGCTGCTTATCCTCCCTGACATGCAGGGTGCTGTCTGTGAGTACTCCAGTGTAGTAATCCCTACACCAAAAGGGGTGCGGGTCAGAGTGTGAGGCTGTGGAATGGTGCCTGGGACAAAGCGGGCATTCAGAAAAGGTCAATTCCCTGCTGCTGTCCATCAGACCCGGCCACATGCCTTTGTGAGCTCCAGCCCAAGTTACTTACCAGCTGCCCAGCCCCTGGGGCTGTTGACTTATTTTCATGGCACAGATAACAGCATTCTTGAGGTCAGCATCCAATAACTCTGGGGTAAGAGGCAGAGAAACAGGATGAGGGGGCAGGGCAGAGCTGGACAAACATGGAGAATCTCTCTCTCACACACACACACTTCCATCTTAATCTCAACCCTATTGCTTGATCCCTCTGGAAGCACAGGTATCCCTTTGTCTCTGAACAGAAGCAATCCCTGTTCCATTCTGATAGTTTTCAGGACAATCTCCCATCAGGGAGCCCAAATCAGATACATGGAGGATCCATCCCCATCACTTGCCCCATAATGCTCTCCTTGGTAGGGCCAACACCTTGTTAAGGGGATCCCCACTCAGAGATAAAGGCAAGAGGAGCAAACAAAACCAGAGAGAAGCAAAGGCTGGTGCAGAGGCCTGGCCCCAGCAGCCCAGGCACAGGCCCACCTACCGGTGCAGTACATATTGCATCCCTTCCTGCTGAATTCCTTGAGAGTTTTGCACCACTTCCGACTGTTGATCTGGAAGATGCCATTGTTGGTGCTTCCATCAGCTTCATGGTCTACAGCAGATGAATCAAAGCCGCTTGTGTAATAAGCAAGACAAAGCCCTGTACAGGGTGGAGACACAGACCAAAAGGTCCCATAATCAAGGCCACCCCAGACCAGAGGGCTCCCAGTGCAGGTCCCAATGTTAGCTCCTTGGAGCCTCAACTCCTGCTTCGAGGTGATCAGGGCAGAAGAACTTCCTCCCACTTAACAGAGAAACCACTGAGCCTCAGAGGGCAAAGTGACTTCTTCAAGGTTGCATACAGCTACCAAAGAGCAAGTCAAGACTGGGCCTCAGACCTCCTGCCCCTAGGCCAGCAATCTTCTCATTGTCTCATTGTTCCGCACATAGTCAAGTCCAAGTAATGTTTGTGGGATGAAGGAATTAGAACAAAATCCTTAGAGGCAAGATTAGAAAGATGCAGGTGGAACCTGTAGAGGGGTTACACTTAGAGCAGTGTTTCCCAAACTTCTCTCATGATGAGAATTACCTGGTCGAGTTGTTAAAATACAGATTCCTGAATCCCAACTAAGAAGCGCTAAACTAGAATTTTGGGGAACATATAGGTAAAATTGTATACTTAACTTAGTGCTCTTAGAGGGACCTGAGTCCAGGTGTGACTGTACCACACAGCTTCCCAAACCGCTACCTGCTTTCAATGCTTGGCATTGCTGGTGTATTCAGTTTGCCCTAAACCTCAATGGGAATTTTCATGCCAAGATTGAGATTAGGATATAATTATTCTGTTGACTTTAGCTGTGGGGGCCATGAAGGGGCCATTATGATTTGACTGCTTGTTGCCTGCCTGCTACATATTGAACTCTGTGTTGGGTGTTCTCTACCTGTGCTCTCACCTAATTCTTGTTTTACAAATGAGGACTGAGGCTCAGAAAGCTCCTGAGGACACACCCCTTGAGTGAGGAGGATGTGGAGGAGGAGGGAGGAGAGGAAAGGGAAGAAAAAGGTGGATGGAGGGGACAGGGACAGCCAGGAAGAGGGGTGCTCACAGTCAGCCAGGCTGTGGCCGCGGTATCCCTCCAGGCCGAAATTCTTGAGCACTCGGAACAGCTCACAGCGACTGTAGACCTTGGCTTGGCCGCAGGTGAGTAGGCAGCTTAGCAAAGAAGCAACAGCCAGCAGCAGGATCCTAGGTGGACACAACTGCCTTCTGGGAGCCCAGCCCCTGGCTTCCATGCAGGGTGCAGAGGTGGAGCCCCCACCACACTGGCTCAGAGCTGGACGTTGAGGCGGGAAGCTCCACAGCCCTGGCCGTCCTCTCACAGGAGTCTAACCCTTAGAAAAAGGAGAGAAACAGGGCCTGAGTGGACCTGGAAATGAGTGAAGGCTCCATGCTGCCAACCAGCTGCCTTGCAGCCCTGGTGAAGCATCAGCCACACTCCCAAGATCCAGGAGAGGGTCTCCTGAGGCCAGCACCTCTCCCTTCCAATCCTGCTTGACATCATCCTGTCCCAGAAGCTAGGAGAAGAGGCAAGGACTTAGGGGAGAAAACAAATATATTTTGAGCCCCATACAATATGCCAGGCAATATTGAATCCTGAGGCCTGAGATTGTATAACTAGGAAAGAGCAACATTTGGATGGAGATCAAAGTTTATATGAATCCCAAGTCCCTCTGGGGTTTGGCCATGAGAGGATGTTCCCAGAGGCGACGGACCGGGCAGTGTCATGGGTATAAATCAGTCCCTGAGCCTAGCTGCCAAGGAAAGTCTCTTCTGGCCCAGAGCCTCCCTCCCTGGCCTGAACTGAAGCAAGTTCACCCGCAACCCTCTGAGTGGAAACTGCTCTTTCTCTGCACACACAGGTCCCAACGCTTCACTGAAACACTCTGTCATGCCCACCACCCCTTCCAAACCATCACCTTGCCAAAGCCCCTCCACGCTGGGATCTGCCTTCTCAGGCCTCTTCTCCTCCACTTCAGGAGACCCTTGCAGGCTCTGCTGTCACCTCCACCTGAGACTGATGACTTATTACATTTTGCAAGGCAACAGACCTGGACATCTCCTCCGTACACCCCAGTCATCTCAAGCTAAGCTGGCCTACAACAGAACACACGTTCCCAGAACAGTTACTCTTCCCTATCTTGGCTGAAAATATTCTTGGTTGTAAACCCCGGATGTTTTTCCAAACTGGAAATATAGATGTTTTTCACTCCTTCTCTCCATCACTCCATCCTTCACCAATTCCAACTGGTCAATCCCGAGGTGCTGTTGATGCTACCGTCCCTCCCAGCCTTCCTGCCCCGGATTCAGAGCACCTTCCTGGTGTGAAGATTTACTCAGTCCTGTCTCTTCTTCCAAAGTGTTTGATGCATATTTATCAAAATACACCTTTGAAACATAAAGCCTGTGCCCTAATCAGTGAATAGAATATCAGCCTGCAGACTGAAGAGTCCCAGGTTCAATTCCAGTCAAGGGCATGTACCTAGGTTGTGGGCACATTCCCAGTAGGGGGTGTGTAGGAGGCAGCTGACTGATGTTTCTCATTGATGTTTCTAGCTCTCTATTCCTCTCCCTTCCTCTCTGTAAAAAAAATCAATAAAATAAAAATAAATAAGTAAAAATAAACATAGTCCTAGCTGGTTTGGCTCGGGTTCGATTCTGGCGAAGGGCACATGCCTGGGTTGTGGGCTCGATCTCCAGTAGGGGGTGTGTAGGAGGTAGCCAATCAATGATTCTCTATCATCATTGAGTTTCTATCTCTCTCTTCCTCTTTGAAATCAAGAAAGAAAGAAAGAAAGAAAGAAAGAAAGAAAGAAAGAAAGAAAGAAAGAAAGAAAGAAAGAAAGAAAGAAAGAAAGAAAGAAAGAAAGAAACATAAAGCCTGTGAGAGCCTTTGATAGCTCCCTTCATCACTGCTCCTAAACAGGATCTACAGAGCCCCTTATGATCCAGCCCCTCGGACCCCTCTTCCCTCATACTTAAAGTTCCAGTAACTCTGTATTCAACCCAAGATGGCCCTGCCATCTAGGACAGAAGGTCTCTCCTTTCCTTCACTCAGGCGTCAAGGGTCCCATCAAAGATGACTTCTCCAGCAAGATTTCCCCAGCAGGCCACTGCTCCCCAAAACACCCTGTGCTTCCACCCTCCTCTGTCCCACTGGACTGGAGTGTGTGTTCGTCTTTCCCACCACAAGGTAACTTGCGAAGAACAATAGCTGTCTTACTCCTCTTATGTCCTAGGTGTCAAGCAGAGCTGCTGCTATGGAGTGGCTATTCAATGGATGCTTCTTAAGTGGTGCCCACAAAAGTGCAGAATAGAAAGGGAAGACAATTAACCTGAGTTCACATCCGGTAGACACGGTGGCCAGCCTTTCCTGATGTCTTCCAACTTAATCTCATCTAATCCACTCAACAATCCACACGAAGATAGGGTTATGATCCCCATTTTATAGACATAGAAACCAAGGTGACTGCTCTACAGAGACTGTTTTTGAATTTTGGCAGCAAAGTGACTTAAAAGTCATTTTATCTGGAGCATTTCACAGCAGGTCTAGAGGCAGGAGGAGTCAGGTCTGCTGACTCAGAAACCAGAGACCTGCCAGTGTGGGCGCATTCTCTCTCTCTCTCTCTCTCTCTCTCTCTCTCTCTCTCTCTCTCTCTCTCTCTCTCTCTCTCTTTCCCTCCCTGAACTGACCACCTCTTAGCCCAGGATGCCCCCCATCTCTGACCACCCCCCTTCTCATTCCATGCCCCTCCTGGCCAGCCCAGCCCAGGGACCTCGTTAACACCTGCAGAAAGAGAGACGGGGGCTCACTGAGCAGGTGTGGGTCCCACCAAGGCTGACGCAGCAAAGATGGTGCCAAGACACCACTTCAGGAGAGGACCACGCCCGTGACACTGCCGGGTCCCCAGGTGGTCTCTAAACTCACGTGGGGCCTTCTGGAACTCCCCAGTTCTGTGAGCTCATCTTCTAGAATCATCTCTCTCCCACTGACATTCAACCAGTCCCCCTAAGCCCCTCAATTGCAGAGCCTTAGGGACATATGAGGAGTATTTAAATGCAACTTCTCTTGCCTACCTCTACACACACACACACACACACACACACACAACTTTGTGGGGGAGGGAGGTTAACATATTTTTTATTTCAGAAAGGTAGGGGGAGGTAGATAGAAATGTCAATGAGAGACTGCCTCCTGCATGCTCCCTACTGGAGATTGAGCCCACAACCCAGACATGTGCCCTGACTGGGAATCAAACTGTGACCTACTGGTTCATAGGCTGATGCTCAACCACTGAGCTACGCCGGCTAGGCCACACACACTACTTTGAAGGATGACCCTTCTCCTCCTAACAGATTCCTCCAGTGATTGATTACCCAGCAATGACAGCAGGTGCCCACACACTCTCCCCAGGCAACCTCTCCCACAGCCTCTCCCTCTAATTGGCTGATAGTTCTAGAATGCTAAGCCACACACACCACCCCCCTTCTCGATCTGGATGATGACTTCAGTGTGGACAAGCTTGGAACAAAGATGACGCTGTGAACCCTAAAGTTTGGAGGACACAGAAGAAACATGGAATAGCATGCAGCAACCATGTCTGTGCCCCACAGAGGCTCTGCTGGGAGCTGTGTGGCCCAGCAGGAAGGCATGGGCTTTGGAGTCAGGCTGAGCTGGGCAGGAACCCAGGCACTGGTGGCTACCAGCTGGGTGACCTAGAAAAGTGACTCAATCTCAGTTTACTCAATTCTCAAGTAGGAATAACAACTCCTGGAACATCTGTATAGATGCTTAGTACTTAGAGTACTTAGTTCTTAGTACTTAGTACTCAGGGTGCTCAATACACAGGCACAGTTACTACTAAGAGCTTAGCACGTGTTCAGTTGCACCAGGTGCCTCCTCTCTGCGTGACTGACGAGGTTAGAACTAAGGGTTGGTGCAGCCACAGTCACAATTTTTTTTATTTTGTATGATTCCTCTTATTTTCTTTCATATATTTTTATTTATTTCAGAAAGGGATGGATAGGGAAAGAGATATAAACATCAATGATGAGAAAGAATCATTGATCGGCTGCCTCCTGCCTATCAAACCCGAAACCTGGGCATGTGCCTTTGATCAGAATTGAACCCGGGACCCTTCAGTCTGCAGGCCAACGCTCTATCCACTGAGCCAAAATGGCTAGGACACAATTTCCTTTTTCCTTAAAAATTGTATTGTGCTACAAACACTTAACATGAGATCTAGTCTCAAGAAATTTCTAAGTGTACAATACAGTACCTTTGACTATAGTGTTCTACAACAGATCTCATAGCTGATTCATCTTGCTCACCTGAAACTTTCTGCCCATGGATTAGTAACTCCCAGCCCCCCTCCCTTGCCCCTGGCTACCACCATCCCACTCCCTGAGTCTCTGAATGTGACTATTTTAGATCCCTCATATAAGTGAAATCATACAGTATTTGTCTTTCTGTCACTGGCCTATTTCACTGAGCACAGTGTCCTCAAGGGTCAGCCATGTTGCCACGTATTGCAGAATTTTCTTCTTTTTTAAGGCTGAAGAGTGTTCTATTGTGTATATACAACATATAGAACTTCTTTATCCAGTCATTGGTCCATGGACATTAGATTGTTTCCACATCTTGCCTATTATGAATAGTGCTGCAATGAACACAGGAGTGCTAGTATCTCTTCAAGATCCTGATTTCAAATCTTTTGGGTAAATGCTCAGAAGAGGGATTACTGGATCACTTGGTAATTCTATTTTTGATGGTTTTCCACAGTAGCTGCACCATTTTTGCATTCCCACCAACATGGGCAAGACTTTCAGCTTCTCCACATCCTTACCAATCCTTGTTGTGTTTTGAATACGGTGAGATAGGACACCGAGGTTTTGATTTGCATTTCTCTATTGACTAGTGATGCTAAGCATCTCTTTCCATATACCTGTTGGCCACTGGCACGTCATCTTTGGAAAAGTGTCTACTCGGCATGAAAATTACTTAAAAACCCCCAGATGCCTCCAGTGTGCAGCCAGGCATGAGCCTTTACTCAGGGAAAGAGCTCTGGTTTGCTGGTTGCTATGATGCACACTGACCACCAGGAGGCAGATGATCGATGCAGGAGCTGCCCCCTGATGGTCAATGGGAAAGAGCTCTGGACTTGAGTTAGATAAACCCGAGTTCACTGTCTTGCTTGACCCCTGCCTGTCTGTTTAGCCTTGAGGCATGAATCTC